TTTTCGGCAACCATCTTTTCTTAACTTAATTTCAAATTAAGCGTAACTTATGTTAATTCGACTTAAGTTTATTGCCAATTATTTTGAAGCTGGTAAATCGCTTAAAACTCAACTGAACACTTCTGATTAGCCACTTTCACTTTTCCTTCGACTTCAAGCAGTCACATCTCGCTGCTGCTCACTCATTCTTTTGTTTGTAATAAAATCATAAACGGCGAAGTGTTCTAATACAGATGATTAAAGGAAATAAATTTTTATTTTAAAGATGCTCTATTAAAACTGCAAAATGTATAAAATTAATTTATTTATACACAACGCAAACAAAAGTTCATCAGTCGGGTGATTCGTAATACCGTCGTTTAAGCTCGACTCTAGCAAGCACTCTGCAGGGTGTCCCGCTAAGTTGCGCAGTTGATTGGGTCAAGCGAGTTTATCCTAAGCCGCCCTGAAAAAAAAACCGTGAAGGATAAGCCGAAACGCTGGAACGGATTAATCATTCGAATGACACACTTATTTGCATCTGTTGTGTATTAATATACCGTTTTAAGACATTTTTTATTAGAAACACCAACATGCAAACAATTTATCATCTTCAAATAAAGTCTCTTTATAATGAATTCTAGGTCTTAGGAACTTTCGATTAGACGATCCATATTTCAAATATGTACGTAACGTTTTCAATCTGACGAATCTGATACTTTGATTTGTAAACGTACTGCTCGCATGGCATTGAGTTCAACTGATTCAAATTCACGGTTTATTTGCTCTGGCAACGTAGTTGATTCGTTTTTAACGGATAAACTATGACATTAAAGAGTAGCAGATGTTTAAAGAAGTTTAGATGGGGTGTAAGCATTAGCTTCCAATAGAATTTATAGATCTTGGTTCTATGTTGATAGAAATTTTCGTTTTATTGTTTTCGCGGTTTAATTCGGTTTCTGTAATTGCCCTACAACTGCTAAAGCCGGCACGAAATGTGTCATTACCTGGCTGCTCCAAATGGAGAGCGAAAAGTCCAAACCTTGCTGTCCATCTAATCCTCCGCCTACTAGGATGAAGAAAACTTAGTCGATAATGAGCTCATGACAGTTTTGAGAGCATTTTCAATGGCATTAGCCATAGGTTTCGTAGTATCACCAAACGAAGAGAGATTATTTGTGAGATAGCAAGATCAGAAATGTACAAAATTGTGATTTTTGCATAATATAGGCAGCATTCCTTCACTTATAGCACGCGTTGCCGCCAATTTGTCAAAATTTTTGTTTCTTCCGCGATGAACTGTATACGAAAACAGATGGTCTGACTCAAAAAAGCGAAAAAGAAGATATCTACAGCTGCAGAACACAATATGCCAAAGAAAATAATAACGTAATGAAAACAAAATTATTTGCACCGAAGCATTGAAATTGAGATTGGGAAAGATTGTGGAGGCGGTCAGTTCAGTATTGCTGTTTATATTACAATGGCAATGAATGTCTGCACCTGTGGTAGAAAATGACTCGTCACAAACTAATTTCACTTCGCTTGCACACTGCCAGCTCTATCTTAGTAGCTATTAGTTCCCTCGAACAAAGAATTTACCCACTGAATATCTGTATAGCCAGCTGAAAAATGGGTAGCAGGTCGTTCCTTGCGAATGATAAGAAATATCTGACGCTTTAGTGTGGCCATGCCAAAGCGTGTGTCATACGAAACTTAGGAAGGTCGTCACCGACACTTCAGACAACTTTGTAACCTGTGTTCTGCGAGTATCCTTGTAGAACAGATGGCAATCAACGATCGGAGATTAGCTTCTGGTTCGGTTTGACATAATCGCCCAAAACCACGGTTGATTAATCCGCAAAGGTGGGATTTAGAACCGAGGACTCGAATTTAAAACCCGCTTAAGTCGCTCATCTTCCTTCCTTGCATGCTTAATAAATGAATGTCGCTATGTAATAAGGAGACCAACTTTACACTATGCTTGCCACATAGTTGCTGTCAACCTTGTCCCTAAAACAAGGCACTGCTGGCTGATAGCACACAAACAAAGATCAGCGGCCTACCATCAACTAAATGGGAAGGACGCTAAAAATGGTCTCCTGATGAAAGAATTGGGAATTCCTAGATCCCAAAGGCAAAATAAATAATTTCGTCTATAACTGCCCATAGGTAATATGTAGACCCATCGCAAACATATGTAGTAACCCTCTACTACTCTCGCATACGAGAGTTGGAGCATAACAAAGAAAACTAAACTATGCCTTCAAAAAGGTGATGACCTTTAAGGACAGCAAACCATGCCTCAAAAAATGATGACAACAGAAACTTCCTGGCTGATGACATAGAAACGATCAACAAAGCGCCATTGACTTCACGAAAGGAAGTTAGCAAAAATGGTCCAATCATGAAAGTGAAGGAAGACCGACATTCAAACGTTGACTGAGCCCTGACTGACTTTTGACTAAACCATGCCTAAATACAATATGGGGCAAGATTTTATGTGGGCGAAACAGCGCAACTGCGAATAACATGTGGTTGAAACACTGTCAGATTTGGAGCACAGTAAATTTTCCATTGGTGTACCGACCATCGATGGCACAATTTCAACCCCAGAAAATGAACAACTTCAGGGTTTGATACAAATTAACAAAAACGTGCCATTCATTAAGCGCAAGAATGTAATAGCAAACGGCAGAAAAACATTTATTTCGCTAACGAATTACAAAGCAAGTACAAATGTCTTAGACACAATTCTAAAATGATCAATCAAACTCATTGCTTACCGTCACTCTCCTGGCTAATCCTGGCAGCAATTCCAGTTGAATGTGGTCGCTGCGGCACTTAGCGTCACTTTCTGCAAAATGACTCAGCAAATGTAGGTTAACATAATTGCGATTCGCTACTTTCAAACCTACAATTCAATGAACAGTCTTTGTTGTGTTTGTTGCCATCATCGAATTGATCCGCTGGCAGAAGCAGAACGTTCTTTGTAATGTCCGCCGTATCTACAGTTTCCCAACACTTTTGGCATAATGCACCGGCTATGACATCGCAGAAGTTAACATTCCTCTGCCTCTACCTTGTTCCTCCTTGTTTTGGCTTGCACACCTCTCGGGCTAGAATAAATGTTTTCTGATCATCAAGTTTGTCTAACAGTGGCAAACTTCGTTTCTTAACTTGACAACTACCGATGTCACCTGTGCCTGAAAA